CGATTCGCAGATCCGGATCGGTTTTTTGGAAGCCGGATCCGGGTCACCGATCCGTTTTTTAAACCATTGAGTTGATCTTTTAAATGGCTCAATAGTTTATCTTTTAGGTTTATTTTGATAAACTTTTAGGTTTATTTTGATAAATTTTCCTAAAGTAAATATTAGACTATCCTTTTATATTAGGAAGATAGCCCCTGTTTTTTCACTAAGAGAAACATATTGATTACTAAAATTTGATGTTCCAAAAATCCTCTGTTTTTGGAGTTGGCCTTTAATCCTCTCTATTTCTCATTCTTTTCTATTTTAGATTTATTTTGTAACAATTTCCTATTCTAACAATTTTTATGTAAATGGTGTTTTGGAGCAGGGGTGTACTTGCCTAAGCTATGTCAAGAGCAAATAATCAACCCAAGACGCAGCATGGCCGAGCTCCTGAGCTCAGGAGTGGCAGAGGGGTGTGAGCCCTCTGGTGCGGCGGCTCCAGCTCCATCAGCCCTAAAAATTTAGGCCTTCCTTTTTTTCTCTTTCTTTTTTATGAAATTCTCTCATCATTGTACATGATTGAGCAGAGGATTAAAGGGATCCACTCTTTTTTAGATTTTCGATAAGAGGTTAAGCATTTGCTCGAGCTTTGTAGCTGAGTTATTCGATAAGAGGTTAAGCATTTGCTCGAGCTTTGTAGCTGAGTTATACACACCTACTGTTATATTTTAGGGTCTTGTTATGATCTATGAATAAAAAGTACACTATGTTATTGACTAAAAATTTATGAGTATTGCTTCTTACAATTATAAGTAATCTTTATTTATTGTTAAATCAAATTTCCATTTGTTTCGTTTTGTAAATTTAAGCATGGATTCCCTCTAGCATCAAGCACAGGTATAATAGAACATATCTCGCTTATAACGTATGTTATAACTTATGTTCACGGATGATATTTGAGAATACCAATTGGATAACTATTATGACACTTGCCAAGGCATGTTTAATGTCCATTATCATGCTAGGTTCTTTGTTATATTATCGGTGATTTAAAAACCCCCGATCCAGAATAGGCGATTCCTTCCTGGTATTGGGAATCAACCTAGATCAAAATAGCAGGCTTGTTTGACAAATTTTTTGTTTCCCAAAAAGATATTCATTGTCTTTTCTACTTTTCTTTTCCTTTTTTGATTGGCCTATTTGGATATTAAAACATTGGTTCCTTTAAAAAAAGAAAAAAGGAAATTTAATATAAAGAAAAGATTTCTATACTTCCTCTACAACATAGAAGATCTATGCTTCCCCTACCAACCAGCCATCCAATTTTGATTAAGAGAGCCACTCACCATTTGATCTTAGATCTGAAGTCTCAAAGTATTTTTTGTTTTTAAAACAAATTGTATCAATATGAAATTTTGTATGTACCATCTTCTCATTGCGGTGTACCTACAAAAAATATTAAAAATAATTTTTCGATAAAATATAATGATCAAAATACCCCTTGAAACTTTAGAGGATCTTGATAATTTTATTTTATTGGAAATATTTGTTAATATTTTTTACTAGTGCGAGTCTAATAGAGGATCAAGCGTCCAAAATTTGGTATCAAAATAGTTTATAGAAAAAAATATTAAAAATAAAATAGTGTAAAGATATGACAATGTGATTGGGGCAATCTTAGCCCTCCATTCAAAATGGACGGTTAGATAAAAAGAAGTATATAAATTTGATGTTCTAGAGGAAGCATAAAAAGCTTTATGCCCTGAGTCAACATTAATGGCCATATAAGAAACTTATCAAATTACTCATCGAGAAGAGCGAATTATTACTTTACTCATATTTTCTATTTAATTTCAAAATGCCTTCGAAATAGTTGCAAATGGGCATATGTTAAATATCTTATTCTTCATGGGTAATTTTTATAAATTTCCTGGCCATATATTAGTGGCTTTTTTTATAGTTGTTAACAAAAAAAAATCCTATTATAGAATTTTTTTTTAAGAAATCACCCCTTATATACAATTTCCTTTGAGCATATTAATAAAAAAACCGAGAATCCTAATACTATTATATAGTCTTTCATGACAAGTATAAAAGCGTGTATAGCATGCTCGACGGGAGAATATTGTATGTCAACTCCCTCGATCATAAGAGTAGGAGTATTTTTTTAATCAAAAATTTTGGGATCTACTTAAAAATCATTAGATAATTTTAAAGAAAGATCTACCTAAGAATCATTAGATAATTTTCAAGAGACAAGACTCGATTTTGAGTTCTTCAACACTTTTTGCTGTCCAAAAATGTGCTTATCCTTGTTCAATCCTGGGGCGGCAAACGTTTTGAGCACATAGAATGTGTGATCTAATTATTTTTTATTTAAAATTGATCACTAAGTTAAAGAGGGTACATCCTCAAAATTTTAGGGTCCTAGAAATGCTCATGGCTTCAATTTTATCCGAATGAGCAAATGTACTCTGGCGAGAGCAACAAAAATTTTGGCCCAATATAAATAGCACCAAGGAAACTACATTTTTTAAAGGATGAGGTTTATATAAGGCCTAGGTCTTATAAAAACAAAATAAACCCTCATTTTAAATCCTCGTCTCGAAATCACTTTTGACAACATACATCTCTATGACTTCTC